TACCCCAAGCCCCAGTGGTGACATCTGGATGTGTTCGAAAGAACCCTTTTCTTTATGTGTTCTTTTCTATGAATCTCTAGGTGAAGACACTTCCGTTACTTAAATTGGGTGAGTCAAATCATTGAAAGACAAATGTACCTTTCCATATTAATTGTTTATTAATCTATTTTAGGAAATTATCAAGGACTCAAAGTCTTCTGCACACATTTGGAATTTCAGTGGACGTTTTGTAAATTTAATTTTCTGCAGTGCACAGTATACACATAGTTACACAATGTTCGCTTTGTTTCACTACATTATTTAACATGTAAGCAACTACCCTATTCTTCCAAAGAGTCAACCAATTTCTCTAGTAAATTGTTTTCTTTTCAACTTCTTTTTTATGATTTTAAGTTATAAAATGATTTTAAATTCTTTCTAAATAATTTTAAATTCTTAGGTGATTCTACTTTTAAAAGATTAAAAACAAAAACTTCTATTTTCTCGGTGGTTAAGTTTGCTGGTAATTTTTTAAAAAAGTCATTTGGAGATCTGTCAAAATCCTAGGCTTATTTAGTATTCTGAATCAGTATCTAAGGATATTATGTCATAGATATTCTTAAAATACGTATTTGATTTCTTTGGTATTAAAAATATATGTTCATTCAAAATTTGGAATTTATGCAAAAGTTTAAGTAAAATAAAAGTCACATTAATGGGTATTTTATCTCAAGCATATATTCTTTAAAAATAAAAATTGGGAGTTGTAATTTCAGCTTGTCATTAGTGCTTTTATATAAATGTAGAAATCATTGCCATTTGTTCCTTTGTTTTCATTTTGTTTTCTTAAGACACAGGGTCTGACTGTGTTGCCCAGGCTAGCCTCTAGCTTCCCCAGTGGCTAGGACTATAGGTGCATGCCACTGTACCCGACTCAGCTCACTGTCATTTCTTTTTTTTTTTTTTTTCTTAAGATGGAGTCTCGCTCTGTTGCCCAGGTTGGAGTGCAGTGGCACCATCTCAGCTCACTGCAACCTCCACCTCCTAGATTCAAGTGATTGTCCTGCCTCAGCCTCCTGAGTGGCTGGGACTACAGACATGTGCCACCATACCTGACTAATTTTTGTATTTTTAGTAGAGACAGGGTTTCACCATGTTGGTCAGTCTGGTCTTGAACTCCTAACCTCAGGTGATCTGCCCACCTCTGCCTCCCAAAGTGCTGTGAGCCACCATGCCTGGCCTGTCATTTGTAATAACCATTTCTAGCAGTTTTAAAGGAATAATTTTGCTTGTTTTATGTGGCATTGTGACCTTGTAATAATAACTCAATGGAGTAAGGACATGAAAATGTAAAAAGAACATTTTAATTTAGCGACATGATTTTTTAAAAAAATGAGGTAAGTTAAAATTGCTTGAAATGACAAGATACCTAAAGGAGTAAAGATTATATGAATTAGAAGAGAGAAAATGTCTCTGTATATATCCTTTGAATCTCTAGGAGCATAATTTAGAGATTAGAGCAAGCTGATTGAAAATGACTGTGAATACTCTAGACATTACAATAGTGCTTCTTTATTTTACTTTTTAAAATTTGTTTTGACTGCTGTTGGATTTATGCCATAAGATTAACCCCATATTTGCCTTAAATTAGAATGAGATTTTTTTTGTCTTTCATAGGATTTCTGTAAGTGGGCCTGTTGAGTAGCTTTATTCATGGTGCTGCCACCTAAAATCCTTGTTTACTAGTGAGGGAATACAGACAGTAAAATCATAAATAAGTGAAGAAAACAATTTCGGATAATGACATTCACCGCTAAGCCAATGAAATAGCATGGTGTTTGCAAGGGTGGCCAGGGAGCCTCTGGTCAGCCTGAATCCTCAAGATCTTAGTGAGAGAAGGGGCTGCTTTGTGAAACTCCAGAATAAGGAACTCACTGGAGGGAAGGGGCTGCCAGCACTGAGGCCCGAGATGCAGGTGGGCTTAGTGTGTCTGAGGGGCTCAAAATGGAGTATAGCTGGATGTGGCTGGGGAGAGACAAGGACTCTTAGCTTTCTGGCTTGAATGGTGATGCCATTTTCTAAGAGAAAGTACACAGGACAAGAAATGTATTTGAGGGGTAGGTTGAGCTTAGTTTGGGATCAGTGTCAGGTGATCATGGTCAGCAGGTGGAGGTGCCCAGGAAGCCGATGGGTTTTAGTAGCTTAGGGGTGAGTTTGGGGCTGGAGGCATGGGTTTAGTTTTGACTCTCATCTCAGTTGGAATAGCTACCTTCAAATTTCTGTAAGGATGAAATGAGATCATATATATATATATATATAAATAAGGCAGAACACAATGCCAGGCACATAGTCATGTAAGTGGAGGTTATACCCCAAGGCTGCAGGAGACTATTTGATTTCCACTATGTCTAGATAGGGCTTTTCTGTCCTTTATATTTTTTCTATTTATCAAACATCTTATATTTTTCCTCCAAGGCCCATTTACTTTTTTTTTTTTTTTTCCAAAATAGAAACAGTGATTTTCTTTTGCATGATAAAAAGAGAAAATAAAAATCCTCTGTAATCCTGTCTCTGGATAAAACCATGGTTAACAGTGTAACTATACGAAGGTTCAAGACCACATCTCTCATAAAATCTTCCCTGGATTCCCTGTGGATGTGCAGTGTGTAGGGCCTCTTATTCTGCTCTGTGTTTGCTGTTTGGTTCTTAACTCTTGAGGAGTGTAAGTTTCTTGAGCAAGAAAATGTGCCTTCCTATCCCTAACAGCACCTAACACTCATGCACGTTACGGGTACCCAGATCGGATTTGTCTTTTGCCTGCCTTTTCAGAATTGTGTATGCTGTGTGTACACTGCGCTCGGTTTGTTGTTCTTCAGAGTGTCAAGTGTGATGAGTTTGTGTTTCTATTTCCTCAGAGATGATGTGGGCACACTGGCTGTTGCTTTGGTTTATAAAGGGGATGTGGTAATGTGATTTGTTTTGACTTCTCTTTTGTTGTAGTTCATCCAATAGATCTGAAGAAATCTGTTCTCCCACCTAGTTGAGGCATTACTGATTACATGCATTTCCTGTATATGTCTCACTAATTCCACTAACTCACATAAAATTTTTACTGGGAAAATAAATTTTTAAATTTGGAAATCACCTGTTTCTTTTGTTGTGGCACATTTTAGTTTTGAAGATGCAGGAGAAAAAAGTCTTTATAAATGTGAATATGATGCATATTATAGCTTAGATTAATAAAAACTGAAAGCATTTTTAGGGTAACTCTTTTTGTTAACTTTAATGTTCTAAACATATAAACGTGGTCCTTCACTGGATTGACTTTTGTATTTTTACCTTTGCGTAGGTTAGAGTGAATCTGGGCAGAAAATCCTCTCAGTTAATTTCTTTTTGAAATGTTGTGTTCAAACATTTCTTTAAATTGAGTTACTTTTCTTGTTTTAAATTAGAAAAACAGAGCTCCCTTTGAGGTATCTGCCTCAGGTAACTCATTTCTTTGGTTTGAGTCTGCATATGTTTAAATGACAACATTTAGGGTATGATGAGTAAAAATCTTGGAGTAAACTGATTTTCATGATCTGAATTGTTTGCTAGTTTAGATCTAAAGCGGATCCGGGATATTTACTTTGCTAGTATCTAAAGCTGATCTGGAATTCTTGGATGGCTTTTCAGACTGCACAAACCTTCCAAAATGTTGTGCTAAATTCATGCGTTTATGTATGTATGTTCTTCTGTGGAGTGTGCTCATAGCCATATCGTAATCTTAATTGAGTTTATGGATTCTAAAATACTAACTTTTCACATAGCCTATAGTGCTAATGCTGCAGTTACCTCGTTTTTCTGGCATAATGTTTATACCCATCGTCACATATTAAAAGCTTGTAGTCAATGTCTTATTGGTCGGTGTAGATCCTCTGAAAGGAAAGGACAGATCACACAAAAGTACCATCTCTCGGCTCACGACTCCCCACACTGCCATCCTGCGATTCATGTCACTTGGGCCCCCAACATCCTGTCATCCTCAGTCACTGGTGGCCATTTCTAGGCCATGGCAACTGTGGCTGACAGTTCTGGTGACCATGCTGAACCATACCTAGACCCCCTCCCCGGGCTGCTGTCCTTTGTTGACTGTGTTTGCTCTTAATTGTTGGTTCATTTTGGTGCTGGGCTGTCACTTTTTGTGTTTGTTATTTCCATGGGATGGGTCTTATACCAGCATTCCAGCCTACCCTCTGGTTTGTTCCTTCAAATTTTGTATTGGAGTGGGTCACTGGATAACCTGGCTTGCTAGAATTACATACAGTATTGTGGCCAGGTGCAGTGGCTCACGCTTGTAGCAGCACTTTGGGAGGCCAGGGCTGGTGGATCACGAGATCAGGAGATCAAGACCATCCTGGCTAACATGGTGAAAGCCCATCTAAATATTCAAAAATATAAAAAATTAGCCTGGCATGGTGGCGCACACATGTAGTCCCAGCTACTTGGGAGGCTGAGGCAGGAGAATCTCTTGAACCTGGGAGGTGGAGGTTGCAGTGAGCCAAGATCGCACTACTGCACTCCAGCCTGGGTGACGGAGTGAGACTTCACCTCAAAAAAAAAAAATATACGTATTGAATGAGGCAGTGAGTGAGTGGGGGCCTGAGGGTGCCAACAGTAGAGTGATGTACTTTGACTTTGTGACAGCTGTTCTTGGCAGTCAGTGATTGTCTTTTCCCTTACCGTTTGGTTTTCAAATTTGAGTTCTAGAGAGTCGATAGGGCTAGGCTATGTCCCTGGGTAAGTGAAGGGATCTACAGGGAAGCCCTAATTCTTTTGGAACTGTCACAGATTCAGCATAAGTGATTTCTTAAATAAGTTTTATTCTTTGTATTTCAATTAAAAATGATTTGGAAGAACTTTCTAAAAGCTACTATAATAAAAAGCTTTAAAGCGTTAGATATTCCCTTGCTTGCTTCCTGACTCTTGCTAGGTGAATGTTTACTTTGATGTGGCTGGTACCCCTTTCTGTTGGTCATTAGGTTGCGCCCAACGATGAAGCTGTGGTGACGCTGTTATGTGAATGGGCCGTGAGCTGCAAACGGTCTGGCAAGCACAGGGCCATGGCTGTGGCAAAACTCCTGGAGAAGAGGCAAGCAGAAATTGAGGCAGAGGTAGGTTCCGTTTTCCTTCTGCTTGTTGAATGCCCTAATGTAAAAATATTCTTTTGGGGAAGATAATTTTCTGTTACCCTCCTTATGCTACTCTTTTCTTCTTGAGGAGAAGAGGAATGATGTAAAAATTTACATGAGGAAGATTCCCGTAGTGGAATCTCTCTAAATTGATGTGGCCATTTATGTTCTGGACTAATGTAAAACTGGTATCTTTTGAAATAAAACTTTAGGCTGGGCACAATGACTTACACCTTTTGTACTCCCAGTGCTTTGGGAGGAGAAGGCAGGAGAATCTCTTGGGCCCAGGAGTTTGAGGCTATAGTGAGCTATGATGTTGCCACTGCACTCTAGCCTGGGTGATAGAGTGAGACTCTGTCTCTAAAAAAGTAAATAAATTTAAAGGATAAAATAATAAAATTTTAGCATTTGACATAGAACAAAGAAATTTCTTTACTAAGTTGAAATACGCATACACATATACATGTGCAAATGTGTATAAGATACACCAACTTTTATGAAATTTACAACTACATAATATTTTGGTGGATTTGGATATATTTTCATGAGGCAGTTATGATTATGAGATTATAAATACCAATTTGTATTGCTTTTGAGATTATGTTCTGGCCCCAGAGAGATCAGTTAAAGGCTTGGAAGTAAATTATAAGGGAAAAAGCAAAACTGACTTTGTCAACATTAGCTTTTGCTGAGGGAACTTTTCTTAGCAGGCCTTCTTTTCTGCCTGCGAATGTTAGTAGGGATGGCTACAGGGAATGTATGTATGTCATCCGACCAGGTCCTTGTCATCTCTCACCTGGCAACTTTGAGGCATCTTAACCTAATTTCTCTGCTTCCTCTACACAGCAGCTGCTGATCTTTTCAAAATGTAAATGGATCACATTGTCCCCTTGCTGATACTCTCTGTGGCTCCTGACTGTGGCCTTTGCAGCATCTCCTGAGCTGCCAGCCTGCCTTTTCCACCTCATCTTGTGCTCTTCTCCCCAAGGTCACAGTTCCAGTCACCTTGGTACTTCTATCCCTTCCATACACAAAACACACTGCAACCTTGAGGCCTGTGCCCTTGTTGCTCCTTTTGGACGGCAGACTTTGTTCCCCAGTCTCCGCATGGCCAGCTTCTTCCTGGCATTCCCATTTCAAGAAGTGTCGCTTCCTTTCCAGCATTCCCAGCTCAACATGTGTCATCTCGGGAGGGTCTTCTGTCACCACGTGATCAAAGTTAATAGCGTTCTATCCCTCAGGCACTCTTTCTCACCTGACTGTTTTACTTTCCTTGTACATTCATCTAGTTAATCTGCTGATTATTTAATACCTTCCCCCTCTAGAAGGTGAGCTGGACAGCAGAAAGCTCACTCATCTTCTTGTTCCGTGTGTGTCCTTGGCACAGAATAGTGCTCATTGCGTAGTAGATGCTCAGAAGGTGTTTGTTGCATGACTGGATGAGCCTTAGCTGGCTCTCCGTGTTGCTGATAATACATCTCCTTCTTGTGAAAGTGAAATAGGAAGTAAAATGAATTAGGAAGAACATTTTAAAGACATTTTTCTCTTCCCGTTAGTAAAGTTGTATTTACCAAAAATGAGAGATAACTGAAACTGGGGCTTGAAGATATTGATGTAAGGTGTAAACTAAATGGCCCATTGCATAGTGGGCAAATTAGGAGAAGCCTTTCATTGCTTTTCTTCCGTGTATTATAAATAGTTGGACTATTCTATGGTGAATTGCAATCCATAAACTTCAGTAGCTAACATGGAATTTCTCAAATATTTCACCGCTCCTTCCGTATTGCGTTTTTTTTTTTTTTTTTACACCACTTTTCTCTTGCCTTTATTCCAGAACAGGCAAACATACACATTTCACTTTCAGAAGAGGTTCACATATAGATTACCTTGTAATTTTAATAGCCTAAATCTGTCTATATCTAAAAATGTATTCTCTCAGAGGTATTTAAGATAATTAACTTTTTGTTAAACATCACTATCTTTTTGACTTTCACAAAGAGATAATAGATTGGAGAAATATCTTAATATGATATTTTAATATAATGAATATCTTGATATTAAAGAGTAACAAAATGGGAATAAGCAAAGGAATACAACAAAGAATAGAAAACAAGGTTCTTTTTAGGAAAATAGAAGTAAACAACTTCTGTAGAAAATAGAAGTTAAATAACTTCCGTAGAAAATAGAAGTTAAGGCCAGGCGTGGTGGCTCAAGCCTGTAATCCCAGCACTTTGGCAGGCTGAGGCGGGTGGATCACGAGGTCAGGAGATCGAGACCATCCTGGTCAACATGGTGAAACCGCGTCTCTACTAAAAATACAAAAAGTTAGCTGGGCATGGTGGCGCGTGCCTGTAATCCCAGCTACTCAGGAGGCTGAGGCAGGAGAATTGCCTGAACCCAGGAGGCGGAGGTTGTGGTGAGCCGAGATCACGCCATTGCACTCCAGCCTGGGTAACAACAGCGAAAACTCAGTCTCAAAAGAAAAAAAAAAAAAGAAAATAGAAGTTAGGTAACTTCCATGTTTCATCAACTGTGGACATTCATAGAGGTTCTGAGTGATCTTATTGGTGGAGTGTGATGAATAAGTGAAAGAATGTTATTAGGGGAATTATGTTAGCATTCTCTGTTGATACCATGTTTCTCCAAACATACTAATAAATAAACCCTCCTGACCAAAAAAAAAAAAAAATCAATAATATATCCCCCAATATTTTTCAGGGAAGATACAGTTAAACATGAACTATTTAAAAATGAAGATGATCAAATTATATTTAGCAATTTTGCATAGGGCTAATGAATAGTTTGTTGTACTATAATATATTTACTGGACACTCAGACGATAATGTGCAGAGTTTATAAGTCACATGAATAATGTTTTTCATGGGTGGTTTTTGAAATCATTTCAATTGTTCTGGGGAAGTTGCTTCTAACTTTTAGAAATTTGATTTCACCTGTGATGCATGGTCCTTAAATAAGTACAGACATGTCAGTTAATTTTACATGTTTTATCTGGGCAGTTAAATGTTGATTTAAAAAATTAACAAATTCATGATCCATTATGACTATACTTACCTTCCGTAATTAACTTTGCTTATTTATTTTTAATCTGCAGAGATGTGGTGAATCTGAAGTCTTAGATGAGAAGGAGTCTATTTCTTCATCGTCTCTTGCTGGATCCAGTTTGCCTGTTTTCCAGAATGTGCTGCTAAGGTTTTTAGATACACAGGCCCCCTCTTTGTGTAAGTAGGGAAAGCTCTTTGCCCATAGGTCTTAAATAAGGGATTGATCGTTTTCTTTTTTGAAGCTGATTCCATTTTAAAAAATTTGTGTCTTATTTAACACTCTTGGCACTGAATATATGTTTTACTGAGCACAATTTTGTGACATGTTTTTTAATGGAGACTTTTAGGCAATTTAAAAATTGATCAAGCTTCAAAGACTTAAAATAATTTTTAAAAGTCACCTCTTTCATGTAAGGAAGTAAGGTCCTGTGACATTTGTCTGTATATTGATTGTGATTTGGAATTTTCTCTTTATTAGGAGTTTTCTAAATTTCTTATTTTCTGGTTTTTGCTCTTAAACATGGAGGTGGGGGGGGAAGGAAGCAACAGTACTCTATAGGCAGAGACATGGTACAAGGAGGTAATTTATAGATGACTGGCTGCTTCATTACATTCTCTGGGATGTTTATGTCATCTCAGCTCTTTTTCTGCCTTTTTAGTGAAGAGTTGAGGGTTTCTGGAATAAACAGCCACCCCGTGGGTTCAGACTGTGGGTGAACACTTTTGAAATACTGTCTGAGCTAGGTATTATAGCTCACTGTAGGCTTAATATTATTCTGAGATTTTCCTATGACAAAATGCAGCAGGGAGAATCTTACGATAGACAACAGAAAAATGGCAAAAGGTAAAAAGCAATAGAAAGGGGAGAAAAAGGTTGGGGAGGAGGGAGACTTCTAAAGAAAGAGGTAAAGCAACAAGAAACAGTAATCTTCTGAGTCCTCTGAGGAGGGGCCTCATTTCGGGTTGAGTTTGCCGGTGAGTTTCTTTGAGACAAGGGGCTTTCTCAGTTATTTGGTGGCTTCTAGGCTGGAAGGAGAGCAGCCACTGGAGCTAATCTAGTGGTTGGAATATAGGGAGGAGTAATTCATGGAGAAGAAAGGACTTCAAAGAAACGTGAAAGGACAGAAGAAATCCCTGATAGCAGAAAATCGATTGTCAGACATGAAGTTTAGCAGTTTTAACTTACCTTGCCTCCTGGGGGAGACAACATTTGCCCTTTGCTTCTCCTTTCTTTCCCATTCTTGTTTTCTCTTTAGGAAAAACTCCTTCCTCCTGTGCCTTTGCTAGTTCATCTCATTTACTGTCTGTGAGAAAAAGGTAATCTGTTTTCTGAGAGAGGCTGCTTCTCACTGAGTTTGGTAGTGAGCAAGAGGAAACATTTAGGTTCAAGGTTTAGGAAACTGAGCTTTAATGTTCCTTGGGCAAATGTGTCTCCTATTGGTGTTTTGTGATATGTGATGGTACCAAGGATTGAACTTTGCAGGTTAGTCTTAAAAATTTTGAATCTTACCTCAAAAGTAGAGACACAAAACTTCAGAGTGCAGTGACAATATTGAAAGTCGTAATATGAGTTAAATAGGATAGTTATGAATAAAACTCTGCAGAGCTCCATCTTTGTGTCCTTTTTATTGAGTTGTTTCTTTTTCTTTTCAGTGGATCCTGCTTACATTTGTTTCAAACACCATTTAAATTGTGATTCTGTTGTAAAATCTCCTTTGAAAATGTTCACCCATGTTCCCACAACTGCACAGACACACTCAAGCTAGAAAAAGTAGTCATGAACTGTTAGTAAAACTCTGTTTTATTAGTAAAACAGAGGACAGCAGTCTAGTCCTACTGTCTTTTTTTCTGATCCTGAAATTTTGCTTGTTTATGTTAGTACTTGAATGGCTACTAAGGACTACTATCTTTTTTTTGTTTGTTTGTTTGTTTTGAGACAGAGTCTCACTCCGTCACCAGGCGCCAGACAGGAGTGCAGTGGCTCGATCTTGGCTCACTGCAACCTCCGCCTCCTGGGTTCAAGCAATTCTCCTGCCTCAGCCTCCCGAGTAGCTGGGATTACAGGCACGTGCCACCATGCCCAGCTAATTTTTGTATTTTTAGTTGAGATGGAGTTTCACCATGTTGGCCAGGATGGTCTTGATCTCTTGATCTCATGATCCACCTGCCTCGGCCTCCCAAAGTGCTGGGATTACAGGCGTGAGCCACCGCATCCAGCCAAGGACTACTGTCTTTAAACTTGTAATCGTGTTCACCATACTGGATATTTTTCAGTTACAGTGGGACAGTCAAAACCTGCCTGTCAGTTCTGCCCAAAATGCTAGTGCCTCAGTAAATCTTCCAATATATCTTTTTTTTGAAAGATTGATTGTGAAAAGTAATGAACATATTAAGCCTTAGTAATTAGGTTTTTTCTACCACTCGGTCAAGGAATTCTTGATTGAATTTGTTTCTCTATAGCGGACCCAAACAGTGAATGTGAAAAGGTGGAATTTGTGAACCTGGTGCTGCTCTTCTGCGAGTTCATCCGCCATGATGTCTTCTCCCATGATGCATACATGTGTACCCTCATATCTCGAGGAGATTTGTCAGTCACTGCCTCGACCCGACCACGGTCACCAGCAGGGGAAAATGTAGATGAACACTATTCCAAGGACCATGACGTGAAAATGGAGGTATGGCCCTGGATACAGTGCCTCATTCCCACAGAAACTAGCCTCTGGTGGGAACCACGTTCAGATAGGTTATGTAGTGGTAGAAGAGTGATGGGTTTTTTTGGGCATTCTTTTGCTCCAGAGATGATTTATCTCTGCTTTTCAAGTGGGAAAGACATTTACACTATAGCTTATCATGTCTTACAGAATTTCCCTTTGGATACTATACAACTGTGATGAAAATATTTGACAGGCCATAACATTTTTCATAGGATTGGAATTACATGCTTTCAGTTCTAAATGTTTCTAATTTCTAGTTTTTCTTTAACATTCCATCTCAAAACTGGACTTGTTTTGACCTTTGTCAGCTGAGTTTTCATTCTAAGAATCGTCTTTTCCCTAGTTTATCATTCATTACTTTTATCACTCTTTCATACATAATGGGAAATTCTGTGTTAGTCATAACACATCATATTTTCATTTCAGTTAATTAAAAATTTAGTCTCTATTTCTCAAATGTTATGAAGTGTTGTTTTCAACCAATTATTTTATGCTACGAGTGTGACTGTATAATTTTCTGCCAAATTCTGATATTTTGGATATTATTCCAGATACTTACTGAAATTTTCAAGACAAAAAAGATGGAGGTGGTGATGGGAAATTGTAGAAAATGACGAGAACTTGTGGTGATTACTTAAAAACTGACAAGTTTAGGTCAGGCTTGGTGGCTCACACCTGTAATCCCAGGACTTTGGGAGGCCAAGGTGGGTGGATCACCTTAGATCCAGAGTTTGAGACCATCCTGACCAACATGGAGAAACCTCATCTCTACTAAAAATACAAAATTAGCTAGGCATGGCGGGGCATGCCTGTAATCCCAGCTACTTGGGAAGCTGAGGCAGGAGAATCGCATGAACCCGGGAGGTGGAAGTTGCGGTGAGCCAAGATTGCCTCATTGCACTCCAGCCTGGGCAACAAGAGCCAAACTCTTGTCTCAGAAACAAAACAAAACAAAACAAAACAAAAACCTGACAGTTTAGGCAATATACCATTATGTTTTAAAGCAGTAGCTATACTTGTAATTAAAAACCTGATAGTAGAATTGCAAGCATGGATTCATAGTTCATACTGTTACGGTTTGTTTTAAAAATGGTGTAGGGTTAAAAATGTTTTTTATATAAATGCTTTTCTTAATTTATTGACAGTAGAAATTACAAGGCTAAAAACTGAAGTTTCTTTACCTATTTACATGTTTTTATCCTCCTGCTTTTTCTTTCCTATTTTATAGATAGTTAGGTATCTTATATCTCAGATATAGTCTTACATTTTTCTTAATAAGAAGAGTTGGTTAGTATGTGATGGGAAATAGTCCAATGAAGAAATTGTGGATGCTTTGTTTTTAATCAGGATGCTCGTGTGCTCTTCTCTTAAAATATCACAGAAGTTAATTTTTCTCATCATGAGGAAAAAGAATGTGACTGTTCAAAGCAAGGCATTTCTTAAAGCTTCCTTCAGTTTGCGGAGAAGAAAACAGTATGGGGAGCAAAAGACAGAGATGGTTAAAAATACCACTGTCAGGTTTTAGCTTCAGTTTCTTGATGAACTCCGAAACTCACAATGTTACTTTCTTTCTCTGGCAATTATCAGGAACAGAGTATTATGGCGCATATGGGCATTGACTCAGGAACCACTAACATTTTTGATGAAGTAGACAAGAGTGACTTTAAAACTGACTTTGGTTCGGAATTTCCAGTAGGTTCAACCTTCGATTCTTATTAACAATTAAGAATTAACCCGCTCCCATCCCAGCCTGTCTCCATCCTTCTGTTTCTCAGAATGACTTGTGCATTTGTGATGTGTAATCTTGCCATATTCCTCCTTTGGTACAATTGTCATCTCACACAGTTGGGTCATCCTCAGTTTTGGTTGCATGGCCTACCCTAAATTATAATACTCCTGCCCTCCTAATTGGCTGTCTGACTCTCTTATTCATTTTGGGATCATCATCATCTCAGTAATGCGTGAATGTAGTTTCACCATGACAGTCCATGTTGATTTGCTATGTATGTCTTCAGCTTCTATATAATAGCTTTTGTGACTCTAGGCTTATTGTACATTCCTCTATTTTATTTCAGTATAGTTATAATGTGTTCTTCCTTGTGAATCATAATATATAACTTTAAAAAATATTTTTTGGAGTACAGACTGAAACATTTATGTCTATTATTCATTAGTCTTACTAGTTTATTATTACGTATATGTTTCTATAGGAAATGTTGTCCTATGAGGAAAACACTTACCCATAACTCTGCTTTTATCTTTAGCTTTCCAGGGTAGTGTAGACATATTTCTTACGTGTATGGTTGTCATGTTCTCATCTACAAAATAGAGGGTCATGTTCACATATTCGTACTGATCTGAATATGAATTTTGTGGAAATTAACACAATTTCTTCATTTTTTTGCTCAATGTTTAAGTAGGAAAATGTATATAAGTGTCTGATGTCTGTGTTTTGGTATGTAGAGCACTGTGGTTTGGTTTTGCTTACTTTCATTTACAATCTCCAACATTTGTTTTACATGACTTAGATTTTTTCTCCTATGCCTGGAGAGTCCTGTGAGAATGCCAACACTTCCTTGGGCAGAAGAATGTCGGTTAATTGTGAGAAGTTGGTGAAGAGAGAAAAACCAAGGGAATTAATTTTTCCGTCTAATTACGACCTCCTTCGCCACTTACAGTATGCAACACATTTTCCTATACCTCTGGTAAGTCATTGCTTCAATTAGTCCACACCGTGATATAAGATCAATAACAGTTGAGTGTCAGATTATTCAACTATCTTCTTGACTAATACATATTTATAGCAGATGAGTTTTTGCTTTTGCTCCTGCCTCTGTTCTGATTCTGGTCTTAACGCTTATACACTGATGTAGTTCAAATTTGTAGTGATATCAGTGGCTAATTAGTTTTAGAAAATGAAATTTTCTATATTAGTATCCTTTTATTGAAGAGCATTTGAGTCACTGCAGGTGATGTCTAAATGTGTTTTGTTTTTCTTTATTATTTTTTTGAGGTGGACTGTACCTCTTGTTGCCAAAGCTGGAGTGCAGTGCCGTGATCTCGGCTCACTGCAACCTCTCCCTCCTGGGTTCAAGCGATTCTCCTCCCTCAGCCTACCTAGTAGCTGGGATTACAGGAGCCTGCCACCATGTCCAGCTAATTTTTTGTAATTTTAATAGAGACGAGATTTCACCATGTTGGACAGGCTGGTCTTGAACTCCTGACCTTACGTGATCTGCCTGCCTCGGCCTCCCAAAGTGCTGGGATTACAGGTGTGAGCCACTCTGCCCAGCCTAAATATGCTTTCTTTAATTTGAAAGTAAATTTGCTTAGTAGCTTTTATGGGCACTGTATTATGGTAGGTAGTTCCAGTCAGTAAGAATTTTGAGGCATAAGAAAAATGGGAGACAAACATCAAATGGCAAGCACTCAAATATGTGTATAATTGAGTAGAAACTCAAATTTCCGCTGGAAGATGAGTCAGTTGACATTTCTGGGCCCCTTCCACTCTCAAAGAATGAGTATTGGAGAGAACAAGAGCATTTTACTTTAAAAATTGGGTAAGACTTCACAGAGGTTATTTACTAGATAGGCTCGGCTTTGAACTGTTTCAATTTTAAGAATTGAATAACAAATATGAAATTCTTGGCAGAAAATTTACTGCTTGAGTCTTAGCAGAGTGATATGCTTTATTCTGAAGGGTAACAAAATTGGTTTCTTAATATTAGAAATAAAAATTCGGCCAAAATTTGAAAAAAAAGTTTATTCTTGGATTCACTAGTTTTTTTTCTGGATTTTTATTTTCTAGGCATTTTTTTTTTTTTTTAAATTGTACCTTAGGTTCTGGGGTATATGTGCAGATCATGCAAGATTGTTGCATAGGTACATGCGTGGCAATGTGGTTTGCTGCTTCCATCCCCCCCATCACCTATATCTGACATTTCTCCCCATGTTATCCCTCCCCAACCTCCCCACCCCATGTTGCCCCTCCTCTATCCCCCTAATGGCCCCCATTGTGTGATGCTCCCTCCCTGTGTCCATGTGTTCTCATTGTTCAGCACCCACCTATGAGTGAGAACATATGGTGTTTGATTTTCTGTTCTTGTGTCAGTTTGCTGAGAATGATGATTTCCAGATTCATCCATGTCCCTACAAAGGACACGAACTCATTGTTTTTTATGGCTGCATAGTATTCCATGGTATATATATGCCACATTTTGCTTGTCCAGTCTGTCATTGATGGGCATTTGAGTTGGTTCCACGTCTTTGCTATTGTAAACAGTGCCGCAGTGAACACACATGTGCATGTGTCTTTATAACAGAATGATTTATAATCCTTTGGATATATACCCAGTAATGGGATTGCTGGGCCAAATGGGATTTCTATTTCTAGATCCTTCAGGAATCGCCACACTGACTTCCACAATGGTTGCACTAGTTTACACTCCCATCAACAGTGTAAAACTGTTCCTATTTATCCACATCCTCTCCAGCATCTATTGTCTCCAGATTTTTTAATGATCACCATTCTAATTGGCTTGAGATCATATCTCAATGCGATTTTGATTTGCATTTCTCTAATGACCAGTGATGATGAGCGTTTTTTCATATATTTGTTGACCTAATATGTGTCGTCTTTTGAAAAGTGTCAGTTCATATTCTTCATCCACTTTTGATTGGGGTTGTTTGTTTTTTTCTTGTAAATCTGTTTTAGTTGTTTGTAGATTCTGGATATTAGCCCTTTGTCAGATAGATTGCAAAAGTTTTTTCCTATTCTGTTGGTTGCTAGTTCACTGTAGTGATTGTTTCTTTTGCTGTAGAGAAGCTCTGGAATTTAATTAGGTCCCATTTGTCTGTTTTGGCTTTTGTTGCCAGTGCTTTTGGTGTTTTAGTCATGAAGTCCTTGCCTATGCCTGAGTCCTGAATGGTTTTGCCTAGGTTTTCTTCTAGGGTTTTTATGGTGTTAGGTCTTATGTTTAAGTCTTTAATCCATCTGGAGTTAATTTTACTGTATGGTTTCAGGAAGGGGTCCAGTTTCTGCTTTCTGCACATGGCTAGCCAGTTTTCCCAACACCATTTATTAAGCAGGAAACCCTTTCCCCTTTGCTTGTTTTTGTCAGGTTTGTCAAAGATCAGATGGTCATAGATGTATGGCATTACTTCCGAGGCCTCTGTTCCGTTCAATTGGTCTATATCTCTGTTTTGGTACCAGTACCATGCTGTTTTGATTACTGTAGCCTTGTACTACAGTTGGAAGTCAGGTAGGGTGATGCCTCCGGCTTTGTTCTTTTTGCTTAGAATTGTCTTGGTTATGTGGGCTCTCTTTTGGTTCCATGTGAAGTTTAAGGTGATTTTTTCCAGTTCTGTGAAGAAGGTCATTGGTAGCTTGATGGGGATAGTGTTGAATTTATAAATTACTTTGGGCAGTATGGCATTTTCACGATATTGATTCTTCCTAACAATGAGCATGGAATGTTTTTCCATCTGTTTGTGTCCTCTTTTATTTCCTTGAGCAGTGGTTTGTAGTTCTCCTTGAAAAGGTCCTTTACACCTTTTGTTATTTGTATTCCTAGATATTTTATTCTCTTTGTAGCAATTGAGAATGGGTGTTCGCTCCTGATTTGGCTCTCTGTTAGTCTGTTATTGGTATATAGGAATGCTTGTGATTTCTGCACATTGATTTTGTATCCTGAGACTTTGCTGAAGTTGCTTATCAGTTTAAAGACATTTGGGGCTGAGACAATGCAGTCTTCTAAACATACAATCATGTTGTCTGCAAACAGAGACAATTTGACTTCCTCCTTTTCTAATTGATTACCGTTTATTTCTTCTTCTTGCCTGATTGCTCTGGCTGGAACTTCCAATCCTATATTGAATAGGAGTGATGAGAGAGGGCATCCTGGTCTAGGGCCAGATTTCAAAGAGAATGCTTCCAGTTTTTGTCCATTCAGTATGATACTGGCTGTGAGTTTGCCATAAATAGCTTTTATTATTTTGAGATACCTTCCATCAATACCTAGTTTATTGAGAGTTTTTAGCATAAAGCATTGTTGAATTTTGTCAAAGGCTTTCTCTGCATCTATTGAGATAATCATTGATTTTTGTCTTTCGTTCTGTTTATGTGGTGGATTACGTTAGACTTGTGTATGTTGAACCAGGCTTTCATCCCTGGGATGAAGCCTACTTGAAGCTTTTTGATGTGCTGTTGTATTTGGTTTGCCAGTATTTTATTGAGGATTTTTGCATCAGTGTTCATAATGGAAATTGGCCTGAAGTTTTCTTTCTTGGTCGAGTCTCTGCCAGGTGTTGGTATCAGAATGATGTTGGTCTCGTAAAATGATTCGGAAAGGATTCCCTCTTTTTGTATTGTTTGAAATAGTTTCAGAAGGTGTAGTACCAGCTCCTCTTTGTACTTCTGGTAGAATTTGGCTGTGGACCCATCTGGACCTGGACGTTTTTGGTTAGTAGGCCATTAATCGCTGCCTGAACTTCAGCCATTGTTGTTCATCTATTCAGGGTTTCAACTTCATCCTGGTTTATGCTTGGGAGGGTACCAGTGTCCAGGAATTTATCCATTTCTTCCAGGTTTACTCGTTTATGTGCTTAGAGTTGTTTGTAGTAATCTCTGATGGTAGTTTGTATTTCTGTGGAATTGGTGGTGATATCCCCTTTACCATTTTTTATTGCATCTATTTGATTCTTCTCTCCTTTCTTTTTTATTAATGTGGCTTGTGGTCTATTTTGTTGATCTTTTCAAAAAACCAGCTCCTGGATTGATTGATTTTTTTGAAGGGTTTTTGGTGTCTCTATCTCCTTCAGTTCTCCTCTGATCTTAGTTATTTCTTGTCTTCTAGCTTTTGCGTTTTTTTCAGCTTGCTCCTCTAGCTGTTTCAACTTTGATGATAGGGTGTCAATTGTAGATCTTTCCTTGCTTCTCATGTGGGCATTTATTGCTGTAAGTTTCCCTCTAGACCCTGCTTTAAATGTGTCCCCGAGATTCTGGTACATTGTGTCTTTGTTCTCATTGGTTTTGAAGAACATCTTTATTTCTGCCTTTATTTCATTGTTTATCCAGTCGACATTCAGGAGCCAGTTCTTCAGTTTCCATGAAGTTGTGTGGTTCTGAGTTAGTTTCTTAATCTGGAATGCTAATTTGATTACACTGTGGTCTGAGAGACTGGTTGTTACGATTTCCATTTTTTTGCATTTGCTGAGAAGTGATTTACTTCCAATTATGTGGTCAGTTTTAGAATAGGTGTGTTGTGGGGCTGAGAAGAATGTATGTTCTGTGGATTTGGGGTGGAGAGTTCTCTAGATGTCTGTTAGGTTTGCTTGGTCCAGATCTGGGTTCAAGTCCTGGATATCCTTGTTAATTTTCTGTCTTGTTGATCTGTCTAATATTGACAGTGGAGTGTTAAAGTCTCCCACTATTATTGTGTGGGAGTCTTAGTCTTTTCAAGAACTTGCTTTATGTGTCTGGGTACTCCTGTATTGGGTGTGTATATGTTTAGGATTGTTAGCTCTTGTTGCATTGATCCTTTTACCATTACATAGTGCCCTTCTTTGTCTCTTTTGATCTTTGTTCGTTTAAAGTCTATTTTATCAGGGACTGGGATTGCAACTCCTGGGTTTTTTTTTTTTTTTTTTTTTAACTCTCCATTTGCTTGGTAAATACTCCTCCATCCCTTTATTTCAAACCTGTGTG